ACTTTTAGGCTATTTACTTAATCATTCTAACTTATTTTGTTGCATCCTCATTGGTAAATGGGCAATCATAATAATAGCACTTTTTTTAGTACTAAGTGAAAAAAATGTGAATTTGTTTAGTAAGCAAAGGAAAGTTAGTTGTTATACTCATAGTTAGAATAGACAAGGCTCCCTAGTACTCTCCAATTGGGTCTCTCCAGTAGCTGTCTACACAATGAAACTACCATTGCCATATGCCAGGGAGTGCAAATGGTTGGTACACTGAACTGCACACCAAATTGTTGGGGCATCGAGGCTACTGAGAAGTGCCACGGAGGGAAGGCTTCTTAACCTGTGTCTGAAAAATCCTATGGAGCCACAGCCCTACTCTGACACACATGGGGTTACCATGATTCAACTCTACACCAAGAGTTGTGTCTCCCAAGAGACCTGGGGGGAGAGGGGGTTCAGAGTACAGTACTTGTTTGGAGGTCTTGGACTATGATCAGCATTCATGGAGACTGGGGAGACCCATCAATGGGTAGGGGCAAGAGGAGAGAGCTCAATTCTTGAAGCTGCAATGATAAAATGACAGACACCACAGTAGCGTCTGGCTGTGCTCAAGGCATGCGAACAGGCTACTAACTAAATATGTTAGCAATCGAGTTGGAAAGCAGGTAGTGTCAAAACAGTATTTTCTGTATGCTACTCCTTAGCCCTACTGAATCTCCAGCTGGCTTTGGTAGACAGACCAGGCTATCAATGTAGAAGATGAAAGAGAAAAACACTATCTGACTAAGTCATTTTGAATTTTAGAAGACCTTAAAAGCTGGAGACCTCCAGGGGCTGGCCAACTTCTATGCTTAACCTCTTCAGGGGGGAAAAATTATATCTTTATGTCAAAACGGATCTCGGATTCTGTAGGCTTTTCTCATTTCCATTTCTCCACACTGACATCAAACTCTCTAATGTTATTGAGAAGGGTTTTGCCACATCTGGTAATGCTGTTGCGTTGATTCCGCGTCAGAGCAAACCTGAGTGTGTGTGTTTCAGAGTACAACTGCCACCCAAGGTTCCCCAGCCTGTAATCTTTACGAAAGCAGGATCGCAAGTCTTTCACCCGCAGAACCATACAATTGCCTGTTTTGTGGTTCGAATTACCAGTACTTAGGCTCTATGCCACCAGGGTTCACATTTCTTGCTAAGCCGCAAGTTCACCTCATCCAGGGTACTGCAGACTGAATGGTCTGGAGAACTGCTCCCATTTATGATGACCGCCAAGATAACACCCCCCCTCCCGCCCCCGTACAGTTCTACACTACCATGAAGGGAACTGACTGGACACTAACTAACAGTATCAAGTATTTAAACGAACTAAGACAAACCTCATCAGCTTCATTACAACTACTGAAAGAGGATGATACATTAACAAGAAGACTGAAGATTTATTCAAAAGATTTTAAGGAAAGCTGCTTTATTATTTTTAATTTCATAGAGAAGTCTCAGGAAACCAGTAGCCTAACTCTTAAAATAAGTCTGTCTTAAGCACTGTGCTCAAGAACAATCTATGTGGGATCCAATTGACAAGCGCAACTCAAAAGATTAGATAGACATGTTAGGGAGCGGTGAATTTGTATTAATGGAGGAGAACCACCACAAAAAAGAAGGCAAGTGAGTATGGTTATTCAGATAGAAGCATGTAATCATTGCCACTAAATCGTACATGTAGAAACTGCTGACTTGCTGTATGTGTTTCTGTGTGTACGCGCAACAACAACACAGATACAATATAAAATAAATAGTTATTTTTAACCTTTTTAAACTTATTTTTAAGTGATTTCAAGGAAGCCATCATTTGTTAATTTACTTGTAAAAATAAAAATAAATGCTTAAATGAGAAAAAAATTAATTTACTTGTTCATTTTTCGTAGTGAACATCTTGACCCACACTCTTTCAACTTTTCAAACTATGAATGAAGGTGGGGCTGTGTAAAAGGTTTTCATGTGAGTTCTAATTATTTCTCTTGGTTCATTAAATTATTACAATGTCCCCCCTCAAAAAACTTTGTATATTAGTTCAAAGTGCTAATAAATATACTTACGTGGTATATATGAGGCCATGATTATTAGAAGAAAATAATAGTAGTCAAAGGAGACATTGTATTTGTTTGGAAGTCGTAATGAAAACATTCCTGATTTCTTCACATATGGTAATGCAGCATATATGGTAAGAAGTTCGCCAGCCACTCCAACAGGATATAAGATGATAAAAAAATTATATCTGGGGAAATAAAAATCTCACAGAATTATTTTTCTAGAATAATCACTGGCTTTTATATCATGGTTCTTTTGCTACTACTACGGTATGTATCAACTTCAAAATGTCCTCTACACAGACTTACAGCAACCTCACATAAAGTTCACTGTTCCTACTTTAATCATTTCTTCATGAATATGGTTATCTTTTTTCTTAGATACTAGTGTCAATTTTGATGCTCATATCATAATAAAATAATAAGTCAACATACTTTATAGTAGTGAAATAATTTTACACATTAAAAAATATCGAGTTTTTCTTTTAAGAATCCTAGAGGTTAACATCTTCAAAAATTTCAATTATTTTTTTTCTCTTTTAGTCATTTATTGGTAAACGCTGTGCTTAAAGACAATTATTCTAACGGTCTATCTAGACCTTCAGATCGCCAAAGTCACTCTTGAAGGCATTTAAACAACTCTCTAGTCACTAATTGAAAGCCACTGGTGCAGTGCACCCAAAACAGTACCTACATCGTCACAAAAGCAGGGCAAGTTGTTTGTTGGGCTTCCACAGGAAAGAAAAAGCCAAGAAAGTTCTATTCAAAAGCATAACTTTTCATTTTGCTGGAGACATGCATTCTAACCAGTATGCTAGCCACCATTTAGTGTGCAGTTTAGGGGATATCTCACACCTCTTTTTCCTCCCATATGAAGAAAAGCCTAAAGGACATAAAGCTATGACATTTCTCCATCTTCATTTTCAGCAAGCCAGTCACTCTGTAGCAGTTACCACAGGGAAGTAACATAAATAAATGTAATTCATATTTTATTTCATCATTTTGCCAGCATTAAGAAATATCCATGGTTGTAAGGTAAAGTCTAATTAGTGGACTAGGAGCTGGGAAACACCTTAAACATTGCCTTATTTTTATATGCCAGGTCCATACTACGATAAGAAACTAGGGGTGGAATCAGTGCTTTACCCCAATAGATTAAATGGTAAAGAAAGGATGCTCCCTGTACACCTTCCCTGTCTACCCCACCGATCTACCTCTGCCTCCTCCACAACCACTCGCTCCGTGGACATGGCCCTGGTTTCTTTCCAGTATTTTGTAGGTTATTTTTGAAGAATTGAACTCAATCATTTTGTCTCCATTTTAAAATAAAATAACTTAGTATTTAGATTTCTTTCTCAAAGAGAACACTCAAGTTGTTTACATTTTTTCAGTCTTGTTTTGACTTACATGACTCTCAAATGATTTTTGGGGGAGGGAAGTATTGTTTAATTGGTGGGGAGGGGGGGACACGGACAATTAACCATTTCTACAAGAAACTGGTCTAAAGCCTTAACAGTGAAAATGTTTAATGAAGGGGGGGTCAAATCATCTAATTCATTTGAATTTACAAGCACTTTAAAAAAACACTGCCTTCCACTGGCTCTCAGCTGTTCTTAGGACAGAATGGGAGGGTTAACAGTCTGTAGGCCCTATTTAGGTAAATACGTAATGCTTCCTTGTAGATTCCTAATTATCATTCAAAATCTTTTACAGGCAATACATTCTTGAAATGAAAATCAATATGAAAACATAACTCATCATACAACTGCCTGATTTGTGGACGTATTTTCCAGGAACACATCTATTATGTATATAGAGCCAAATATATTCAAACCACTACAGGGAGCCAAATAATTTATAAATAAGAAGCCAATCCTAAAGTGAATTTTTATTTGAGAATAAACTTCCATATTTGAACACAGATATTATTTTGGATTATTAATGGAGTTGGCATATCTATTTAGACAATTGGGAACTTCAAGACTTTTGATATGAAAGATAATAATTCATGATTATGATTTGACAACGTATTATGCTAATACATGCATTTCAAAGTTGGAAGATTTTATGCCTTGTTTAGAGCATGAAGGCAACTGACAAACGTTCTAAAGAGTGAATTCAAACATGCAGTGGCACATGCCGGAAGTTTCCCAGTTACTCAAGGCATGCTAATGCATTCCAAAAGGCCTATAGGCTAGGCACGGAAGACCAATGTGCACGGCCTAAAAGAATGTACACTCCATTATTTTATACCAACCAATTTGTGAATATCGCCAACAAAAAGAGACTAATATCATGGTCAGTGTCTTCAGGGGTTCTAGAAGTCCAGAAGACTGTGGTTATGCAACATGGCATTGATATATAGACACACACAGATTAGTCCAGCTATATTTGTCAACCTTTCAAAAGGCCCCATCACTGAGGATGACTACACTGTCTTGTACAATAAAAACCAGTCAAACATATCAATGGCAGTGCATCCTTATGACAGATACCATGTTTAAGCTCATATTAAAATTTTAAAGTATTTTACATACTGAATTAGAAGCCTCAAATCTCTAAAATGGGGGTATTTTTTAAAGTTTGAAAGAATTTAAAGTTATGTATAATGAACAGTGATCAGCCTTCTATAATGGAATGTTAAATAACTTTAGTTTTTTCTTGTTTGCATTTATTTGTATACGCTGATATACAACTTTTTCAATCTATATAATACATCTCACTGCCATCGAGTTAACTCTGCCTTAGAGTGACCCTGTGAGACACAGCAGAATGCCCGGGGGAGTTTCCCAGACTGCAAATCTTCATGAGAGTAAAAAGCCTCATCTTTCTCCAGAGAAGCAGTTGGTGGTTTCGATAACAACCCAACTCCAGCTAAGGACTATCATCAAACAAGTAAAGAATGTACTAACATAAATATCTGAGTTTGAAAAATAACAAGTCTGCATATAAAACTTTGTAATACCTCGAACATGATTATAATATTAGAAAAGTGGAGCAATCTGAATTACAATGACAGAACACTATGGGAGATGTGCCAGTTTGAAGGGAAAAAATTAGATTTGAATGTACCTGTGCTAACAACAACAACAAAAATAAAGCCCCAAGATGCAAGCATAAAGAAGTAGAAAAGCACACTGTGAGTGTTTCGGCTTTAAAGTTCACAGCAGGATGTTGACATTTTTGCTAACAGGAAACTGCCTGCCACTGGTTCTCTCCCTCCAGCGAAGAGGCAGAGCAGAAACAGAAATGCTCCCTGTCTGCCCTACGTATTTCAGCAGTGCTTGAACTTTGTACAGTGGAGATGTACTGCCTCTGCAGTTTCAAAGTAAGTGTCAAGAATGGAGATCCCGTCGAGCCCTTTTCCCTACATACGTGGGAGTATGGATTGGTTTGGGGTACCCCGCTGGCCTCCGTGCACGCATAACCATCTGATGTAGCTATCATTCACCTACTAAGTACTTTTTTCCCTCTACTTTTGTTTTCTCTCTCTTGCATTTCAAGCAGTCAGGGACCGTTTAGTTCATACTGTATCCTGAGTACAAAGTAGAAATCCCACCCTTGTTCTTGTTACTACAATGGATGTTATGTATGGATTGTGATAAGAGTTGTACGAGCCCCCAATATAAAATGATTTTTTTTTAAAATAACTGTCTCTGCTACTTAAAGCAAAAAACATGGCTATATGTGTGGTGTGTGTCCATATATATGTACATGCTTTATAATATATAAAATATACATAATTTAATAAATTATTCTCTTTAAGCATAGATGGCTCAATAGTATGTTGAGCAACAGGCTGCTGAGAGCACAGTGGTCTGTATTTATCAGTTGCCCCAAGGGAGAAGGGCAGATGAGGTACAGTCTGCTTCAATAAAGGTATGCTAACTCCCAAAGAAGCAGTTCTACCATTTCCTACTGGGCCGCTAGGAGTCAGAATCAACCTGACAGCAGTGGATGGATTTTGTAAGATACTAAACACTTTGGGTGCTGGATTTAATATTAAAAGCACTTAAATCAATCCGAGGGAAAGGCCATATATTTGGCAGTTATATTATACAGCATGTTATGATTTTAAAGAAAAATGTCTGACGTACTGAAGGTATTTCAGGGCATGTAATGTAATATACTTTGTCCTGAACTGATTTCACTCACGAGACGTGGGAGTCTGACTCCTCTCTTGTTCATTAAATTAGCTTTAGAGCGCCAGCTATACCACTGTTAATATCCAAAATAACAGAGTTCTGGTTTTGTGGGGCTAAAAGACACGCGTTTTCTCTCTCTGAGGTTAGCACACCGAGAGCAAGCATGCACAGGACACGGCAAGACAACACCACCTGGCCCATTTAATGAAGTACGGCAAGTGGTTGAGAAGACTGAATGTGTAGAAGGAGTAACGAGTGATCTCTGTCACAGTCCAGGCGACCAGAAAAAGCACCACACTCTCCTCATTCTGGATCTGTGGGATTACAAAGAGAGCACAGTGCTGTTCAACCTGGAACCTACTGTTGAGTCAAAGCACTTCATGTATTATGCCTGTGATTGTCCTGGGGTATGTCAGGTTAGACAGACGCAAGGCAATACAGAAACTCGAGGCAGTTTTCATTTTATACAGGATGAGGAACATGCACTGGAACCGTGTCCTGTGCATAGGGACGGTCAAATATTGACTGATTCCTTCCCTCACCCATTCCTCCAACCAAGGACAACCATCCCGGGATAGGGACCACCCTTCAAACACAGAACGGTGACAATCTGCAGAACTGACTCCTTCCTACTAGCCATTAAATAATAGGCATTGACTCTTGAATGAACTTCTTGAATCGGGCCATTCTTTGGCCCCACTACTGCTGCATAACATTTTCATCCAGGGCCATATCCTTTCTCATCTAGATTACTGTTATTAACGGCCTCTTAAATATGGCTCCATTATTCATTTTCTTCATGGGTGGCAGCATTCTCTTCAAAACAAAACAAAGCAGCAAACAAACAAAATATTGGAGTCAGTTATTCCTATGATTCAAACGCTTCATGGCTTCCCCATTGCCAAGAGACTAGCTCACTGTCACTGAGGCGATTGTGACTCATACTGAGGCGGGTAATCAAGATGGGAGCAGATTCAACCAGAAAACTGTGCCCCATGGGAAACTTTCCCCAAACATGTCTCCTTACCTTGAACAGAGTTATTGGCTCACTTTCTTTAGGGATACTTTGTGGGTGACTACAAAACTTCCCCATTTGTATTAAAATTGTCTGGCTAACTCTTACAGAAACACACACATTTGTGTGTGGATGTATATATATATATATAAAATCATTCAACTTACATATCCTTCCCCAGGTCAGGCCAACTGAAAAGCTTATCATATTGCATTGCATAATGGGCTCTGGTTTCAAAACATGTAACACTACATAATTAAATAATTCTTTGGATAACTACTTGTTAAACATCTCTCCCCAACTATAAGCTCTTATACATAAAACCATCAGCGCCAAATTTATATAGCCACTGTCCAAGTCATAGTAATTCTCAAAGGTATTATATTATATTGTACACTGGGCTTTAGTTTCAAAGTACTTAACACGAATATAATTAAACAATTATGTGCATAACGACTTGCTTAAAATTTCTCACCAACTTTAGGCTCCAGGAGGTGGGGATTAATAGCCCTAGCAGCGTGCTCTGCTTAGAAGGGCACAGCTCGTATCTGTTCAATGGTTAACATTTGCATAACTGTGCCCCTCTCTCTGTCAGTACATTTGATGCATAGAATACATTAAAAATATCAGTTGAATTAGTTAAAGAATGGTATATGGGCACCAATTGGAGGCTCTTGCTAAGGAAAAATAGGCAAAATAACTAAAGATATAAACAGATGTCCTCCTTGTGGGACAAGCCACTCTCGTGTGCTTACTGTTGTCAGTTGTCAATGGTTTGGCTCTGACTCAGGGAAACCCTTCTGGACACCAGAATGAAACACCGCCCAGTTCTGTGCCATGTTCATGACCCACACACTAGCTTCTCTTCAACCTCTAAGTCTTCAGACTCACTGTGGTCTTAGGTCAGCTAGTGCATGCATTCACTACCTGAAGAGTTTTTCCTGGGACCGATAAAGGACAAGTGATGTCAAGGAGTTCAAGAAGGAAGAGAATATTTTGAAACTGATTGTGGTGGCAAGTGTACAGTACTGCTTGTGACTAAACTATGGGATGATATGATAAATGGTTTGGGGGGAAAAGGGTTCCCTTTATTCTGTTAATGTAGTATTATTCCTGCTTCTAAACTACTGGGCACCTTAATAAAAAGGACTTTTTGTGTGGTATATTCTTGTTACTATCTGTATGGCAGTCACTGGTTAGGGCTCAGGTGGGTCAAGTAAGCTGAATGAAAGACACCCTTCAAAAGGGCTAATGGGAAGAGCAGCAAAGGGCAGGAGGTCAGCAGTCTGTCCCCACAGACAGAGCCCAGTGGGTGTAGCAGGAGAGGCAAGAGAGGTTAAATATAAGTCCCCAGGCAGAGGAGCAAACAGAAAGGCATGTGCAGAATGGAAAAGCAGCCAGACACCTGTCCTCAAGTAGAACGGAGTCCACAAAGGCTGTCAAGAAGGTCAGAAAAGTTCATCTGGGAAATGTTTCTGTCATGGTTTAATGGGACCAAGACCTGGACGTGAGATTTGTCTTCTCCAAAAGGTGTAAGCCATTAATTAGGTTCAGGTCTGTCTCTAGTCATGCCTCAAATAACTGCATTTATTTCTCCATCTACCGTCTCTACAGATTTACCTATCCTGATTTCATAGACAGGAAAGCAATCAAGATAAAAACAAAGAATCAGCAGCAGTGGCAAAACAAACCAGAGAAAAACCTCAATCGAAAAGAAAGCAGAAAATATTAAAAACTGGACCAATTTTAAATGGGTCAAAATGGCATGAGGGTGGAGGGGGAGGGAAAAAATTGAGGAGCTGATACCACGGATTCAAGTAGAAAGAAAATGGTTTGAAAATGATGATGGCCAGCATACGTACAGATGTGTTTGACACAATGGATATGGATTGTGATAAGAGCTGTAAGACCCTTCAATAAAATGACTTATTACAAAATAAATAAATAAAATAGACTTATTTGGCCCTAATCTCCTTAACTTTTCTTTTTTTTAAATCATTTTATTGGGGGCTCATACAACTCATCACAATCCATACATACACCAACTGTATAAAGCACATTTGTACATTCGTTACCCTCATCATTCTCAAAACATTTGCTCTCCACGCAAGCCCCTGGAATCAGCTCCTCATTTTGCCCCCTCCCTCATGAACCCTTGATAATTTATCAATTATTATTTTGTCTCTCCTTAACCTTCCTAACTTTTAGTCTTCCTCCATTCTGTTCATCTCTACAGAAGTAGATTTATTTTTTAGGTCTGTTGCTAAAATACTCAATAGTGAATGATGAAAATAAACTGCTTACTCTGACAACGTCAATTATAGAACCCAAAAGAATATTCATAACTTCCAAGATAAATGAGATTTTCCATTAATTACTTGACAGATTATGAATACACAGTACCACTATTTGGCTTTGCTTGTGTTTCTAAGTCATTCCATTTTAAAAACACTACGAGGTCAATGTACAATAATCACTCATAAATCCAACCTTGTTGTTGCTGCTCTGCTTCCTGGAGTACACAAATGCGAACATTCTAGAGTCTTAGGAATAAAAGCTCCCTGCAGGCTCAGAGAGAGAAGACAGCCACGGCACTTACTGGTTTTATACTGTGAGTGATGAGCCACACCATAAAGATTCTTGAGCTCACTTGGACCCCAGTCACAAGCACAGAAGTTGGCACAATTCCTTAAAAAGATAAAAAACATGTTAAGCGTTGCCCAAAAGACAATTGAGAACAAACATACAAATTAAAGCAAAAACTCACCAATTAAACAGTGGACTATCTGTAAGCAAATAGAAAATATCATAAGTCAATAGCATAAAACATTAAATAAATCTCTGTGGGCACTGGTATTTAATGGATGCACATGTACCATATATTCGACAAAATATGTTGACGTCTACTCAACAAATAAAATTTCAAGTAAATATTAGAGTAGAAAATTGGATGGGAAAACTTACCTCAAACAAGGCAAAGGTCTGGAAAAATCTAAGTGTCTTCTGAATACTTTTATATAAACCTCTGTGTGTTCCTTTCTCCATATAAAAGCGTGTCATGGCAATGGCTAGGACCAACCACCTGGGGAAAAGAAAAGGATGTGGGGAAGCGCCATCAGGATAACCTCTCTGAACTCCCAGAGAAGAAACGCCACCATTTCCACAGAAACAACACCCATGTTGTGGTGTCCTTAGCTCGGTATGCTAATGAAAGTAAAAATAAAAACAGAATTTCAGGAAGACATGACATTCCCCCTGCACCCCCGCCCCTTCAAGGGAGTACATGGACTATATTACAGAGCTACATATAAATTTACAGCAAGGTCCACTGTATTTGGGGTTTCAGCAAATAAGCCTACAGGCTGAAGAAACTAGGTTTATGTACCAACTATGGGATTATCACGCTGAAGAACTATATAAGTGTCCTTTGAACTACAAAGCTATAAAAAACTATGCTTTGAATATGTACTTCATGCAAGTGTATAATACATGTAGGTATATAAAGTACCAATCTTTAAGAACCACTGTTATGAACTGAATTGTGCCCCCTAAATACATATGCTCTCAGTCTGCTGGGTGAGCATTAGACTGTTCACTCCATGTGAAAAGTACGAGACTGTCTACTCCCACAAAGATTTACAAACCTCAAAAACCCTAGAGGATTAGTATGAGTACAAATCGACTCGAAGGAAGTAGTATCCCTTTGGGAGAGCAGACTGAGTGAGCAGGCCATCTTTGATGGAGGAAGACCATGCCACACCAAAGGAGATCTCAAGGAACCAAGAAAAGAGAGCCAAAAGGGCACAAAGAGCCTCCCTAAGATCCAACATAAGTAGAAAACCTTCCCTTAGAGCAGAAGAATTCCTAGAACTCAGACTTCTAGCCTCTTCACTTGTGAGCAGATAGACTTCTGTGTATTACAGCCACCCACTGGTGGTATTTCTGTGTCAGCAGTGGTAGGCAACTATGACAATCACCCATTAATATTTTCATAGTTCTCAATAAACGGTGAGAACTGCTGGGCCACGAAGGGGATTAAAAAAAGGAAGATCGACATGGGCCTGCTTTCAGGGATATTGTTTTAACAAAGAAATAATACCTATTTTCTCAATTTTCAACTTAATGTTTGTATATTAAATGCAGATTCTATTCTATAAATCAAAGTACTAAGCCATATATGTGGAAACCAGCTTCCTCACTCTACTCAATATCTTGCAGCCACTAGGCATATTAAAAACTCCCTCATCCAAAGTGGGTGCATAAGCAAATGTGGTGAAGAAAGCTGACGGTGCCCTCCTATCAAAAGATATAGCGTCTGGGGTCTTAAAGGCTTGAAGATAAACAAGCAGCCATCTAGCTCAGAAGCAACAAAGCCCACATGGAAGAAACACACCAGCCTGTGTGACCACGAGGTGTGTAAGGGACCAGGTATCACGCATCAAAGACCCAGAACAAGAAATCATATCTTATGAATGAGGGGGAGTTCAGATTGGGGACCCAAAGCCCATCTGTAGGCAACTGGACATCCCCTTACAGAAGAGTAACGGGGAGGAGACAAGCCAGTCAAGGTGCAGTGTAGCACCGATGAAACATACAACTTCCCTCTAGTTCTTTAATGCTTCTTCCCCCCCACTACCATGATCCCAATTCTACCTTATAAATCTGGCTAAATCAGAGGATGTACACTGGTGCAGATAAGAGCTGGAAACACAGGGAATCCAGGAGATAAACCCCTCAGGACCAATATTGAGTAGTTACCAAGAGGGTAAGGGAAAGTAGGGGAGAAAGGGGGAACCGATCACAAGGATCTACATATAACCCCCTCCCTAGGGGATGGACAGCAGAAAAGTGGGTGAAGTGAGACATTGGACAGTGTACGACATGAAAATAGTATTAATAATTTATAAATTATCAAGGGTGAGGAAGGGAGGGAGGTGGGGAAAAATGAGGAGCTGATACCAAGGGCTCAAGCAGAAAGAAAATGTTTTGAGAATGATGATGACAACAAATGTACAAATGTGCTCGACACAATGGATGGATGTATGGATTGTGATAAGAGTAGTACGAGCCCCCAATAAAATGATTTATAAAAATAACAATAATAATAATAAAGTTTTTTAAAAAACCTGCCTCATTGGCAACTTCTTTTTTTATCTCTGACAACAAGAAGCCCATTGTCGTGAAGTCAATCTCCATTCACAGTGACCCTTGAAGGACTATCCTACCTGGTTTCCAAAACAGTAATCCTTACGGAAGCAGAGGGCCTCACCTTTCTCCCACAGAGCGGCTGCTGGACTCCGAAGGCCAACATACACCCATCCCATGTTTATAAATCAAAAAAAAAAGTAGGGTGCTTTGGTGGCCTAGTGGTGACATGTTCTAACCTCAGGGTCAGTAGTTGGAACCCACAAGCTGCTCCAGGGGAGAAAAATGAGGCTTCCTACCCTTGTAATGACTGGATGGCTGTGAGGTTAGTGAGTGTGAACATCTTTAATGAAACATATGTATGAATTATTCAATGGTTGCAGAGTTTTAACTTGTTAATCAAACACTCCTCACATGGCCCAATGTCTTCCAAACATTCCTCCAAAGAAACCACTCATGGAATATGAGGGAAACGCAAGCTCAACAGAAGAGGGAAAATGGGAAAATGGCACCTCCATTCCTAGAACTCCTCCTCCGCCTTAGCACCTGCTTTGATGCAAACAATGACTGTCTTATCCAACATGACAAACCAGGTGAATGTCTGACACTATCCTAAAGACTTCTGACATGCAGATCTACTGACAATGACAACATGCTCCCCAGGTGTTTTGTATGCTCCAGACACGGCTCTAAATGCACCACATAGTAACACTAACTTGTCACAATAACCCTATTATTATGACTATTAGCCTATTATCCGGATTAAAAAAACATCAGAGAGAGCCACAGCCGGTCAGCTGGGTCCTAAACCTACACTAAGCTCAGAGTCCTTGTGCTTACTCGCCTGTGCTCTACTGTCAGACTCTAAATATACACTGCATTCAGAGACATTAGCTAATGATAGTAACGGAGGTATTAAATGATACATAGGTTTCAAAAGTTGGATGGAGACTTATGCTTGAATACTTTTACTGATAGCAGTGTGCTAGCAGCAAAGTTTGAAGGCAGCCTTTTCAGATCAGAAAATCATCACTGAGATAGGACTCATCGTGCCTTCAGCCTTTGAGTAAGTTCACGGTAGCAATAGCAGTGCTGGTCTCTGAGTCCCTAGTTCGCTTTCCACTGCTCCGCAGGTAGCTCAGTGGGGGCTCGCTTTATCCACCTCATTTGAGGGTCAACACAGAGGGCTAACGTGAGATTGCTAATGTGGATGGTGTTTGGGGCATCTTTTGGATTTAAAACACAGTTTCAGTACCCTCAATGCCCAAGTTTCATTATTTCTAATAAGAAAAGTAAAAGGAAATGAGGAGCTGAAACCAAGGGCTCAAGTAGAAAGCAAATGTTTTGAGAATGATGATGGCAACAAATGTACAAGTGTGCTTGACACAATGGATGTATGTATGGATTGTGATAAGAGTTGTACGAGCCCCCAATAAAATGATTAAAAAAAGAAAAGAAAGAAAAGTAAAAGGCTCAATAACCCCAAACCCACTGCCATCAAGTCAATTCTGACGCATAACGATGCTGTAGGGCAGAGCAGAAACTGCCCCACAGGGTGTCTATGGGTGTAGCTCTTTATGGACAAAGACTGCCACATCTTCCCCCCATGGGGTGGCCCAGGGGTTCAAACCATCATTCTTTCACAGTTAGCCACTGCACCACAAGAGCGGACCAAAACTTAACCACCATGCCACTCACTCCCTGCCATCCAGTCAACGCCCGCTCAGTGACCCTACAAGACAGGGTAGCACTGCCCGAGAGTTTCTGGCTCA